GGAAGTAGTCGGGCGCTGCCAATCCCGGTCGCCCGCCGGCTCAAGGGGGGCACGCGGGCACCCAGGGCACCCTTTCCGCAGCGTCCTCCCCTCCTCCCGGCGCCTCCCTGTCCCTAGGGCCTTCGGGTCCAGTGACCCGTAGTGCTGCCCGGAGTCCTCCCAGCGCCCCACCCTGACTTCCCTTCATGCCCACCTCCCTCTCCTGTCCCCCCAGTCCAAGCATGCGCCCGGGGCCCAGCTGGAAGAGCGCCGTGACAACCCCGGGCATCGTACCTCACAGGTGAGCCCTCTCAGCCATTGAGCACACATTTGTAGTTACCTTCTGTGATGAAATTACTCTGCTTTCCCCACCACCACCACCACCACCGGGGATCGGGTCCTCGCGCATGCGAGGCAGGTGGTGGAACCCCTGAGCCAATCCCTGGCCCTTACTCTGGATTTTAACCCTTCCGCTTTAGAGCTGTGATGGACCCTTCAGAGCTTTCAGTGCTATGGCGGCATGCTGCGGCACTCGTGCCATAGGTTCGCCACCTCTGCTTTGGGTCCACGCTGATCACCAGCTAGGGTCGGAAATAATTCTCCCCCAACTGCTGCCTCCCTCACCTCATCTCCTGTGCATATTGTTGCACACTGAGGTCCAAGCAGGTCCAAGGCCACGCACCTGGATTCCTCTGAAATGGAGCCACTCCAGTCTGCACTGGAGGAGGCGGGTTGGGAGCCTCTAGGATCATGGACTGAGAAGACTATTTGTCTCTAACATGCGGATACAAAGATGGTCAAGGCGTGGCCCAGGCTTTTTTTATGACAAGGAAAGCTGAAGAGGGTGGTCCGAAACTGAATGTAGTTTCTGGGACATCCTGGCCGAGGCACTGGGGAGTGCCCGATTGACTCCCGGAGTCCAGTTTGGGTACAGGCAGTATTTCTGTGCCTGCTGCCAGCGAGGAGTGGGGCCATTCTGCCCACCTCTCTGTCTCTGGAGAGCCAGGGCTGGTAGCTTGGTTTCTGTCCCAGATGCCTTCTGTTTCATACCCTCAAAATCTGCATCCAGAGTCCCTTGGAAGAAAGCAGAGGAGAGACATGGGTTGAAAGCATTTGCTGTCTCCAGACCACGTGGTCAGAAGCTCTGAAACACAAAGAAGTGAGTATCTCCAAACGTTCATTTTTGTCATGGCGTCCACACTGGCCTTGTGAGGCCAACCTGGCTACTTGGCATCCACACAGACTCAAGTGCCATAGCACTAAAAGCTCTGAAGGGTTCACCATCGCTGCTCTAAAGCTGAAGGATTAATATCCAGAGTAATTTCATCACACTGAGAAGGTAATTACAAATGTGTGTTCACTGGGTGAAACAGCTCATCCTTTCTCAGCAAAGAGGCGCTCTGGGTAGCTGCACAGATTCTTCTCCAGCAGATGAGATGTGTTCATCCTCCCCAAGGATGCAGCTCTGCGGCATCCTGAGAGGCACCGAGAGATACCCGGCAGTTTGCTAGCTGCTCCCCGAGGCCTCCCCACTCTCCACTTCCTCGCTGAGCTCATCAGCCCAGTCCTCTGGGACGGCTCCCGGCCTCCACCCTTCCCCCGGACTCTGCTCCTTTACAGCCTGAGCCTGAAGCTACTGCACTTCCACTCTCTAACCCTGGCACAGTCCAGCCACTTACCTCAAATGTTGTTGTGTCCCAAATGCTGGATGATGACAGAGATGCTCATCAATGACGTTCATTAAATGAGTAAATGTGGGTTGGCCCCATGACGCAGTTATGTTTTCTACCCTCAGATGCTTCTTGGCACTGCTCACTTGTTCTGATGGTAGAAGTGGCAGAGTCCAAACCTTCTGTAGCCTGAGACCCTATCTGGCCTCTGATTCTTGGCAGAGGCCTTAACTTTACCAAGAACAGAATAAAAACAAACGAAAGAGCAAACTGACTAGGAACCTCTCAAGCCTTCTGAACTCTCCTTTACCTCTGAACTGTCCTCACTGAATGCCTATTGTTTTGTTCACCAGACTCTTTTCAGTGAGAATTGCCCTCCTTCTCCTCTGTTCTGAGGGGGCTGGTGTGTTTAGTAGACCCTTCTGTGCACAGCCTGGCACAGCTTACTGACCCACCGTTGGGCCAGTAAGATCAGTGAGAACACGGTCACATGGACCAGTGAACTTTCCTCTAAAATTTTGTTTGGGGGCCAAGATTGTCGATCCAGTCTCTCCCGTGGAGGCAGCTATTCAAATGTAAGCTATGAGAGTTAGCGGTGGCCTTGTTTCCCCACCACATGGACAAAGCTGAGGGCCTGCAGGGGCTGAGAGAACAATGAGGCAGATATGGAGAGACTATGAGAACAACACAGAAGAGCCCTGGTCCTGGGTGGTCCACCGCAGCAAGCCATGCTCTAGCTTTTATTTTTTAACCTTAGATTTAAGTTGGCTTCAGACATTTCCGAAGGCCTCTAATGTTGTGTGTTATAAAATCAACTACCTTCACTTACTTCACAGAGGGAAGTCCCAGTCCCCCCCACACACTGGTTCATACCTGCTCCAGTCCCACAATTCCATCGCACCCCGGCCACCCTTGTTTTATCACTGGCTCCACTTCTTGAACCTTCGGTCCTTTTAGCTAACCAGGTGCTCGTCCTTTTCCAGGAAACAAAAGACTTCCTTTCATCTTTGTCCTTCCTCAACTCCTACCTCCTCTCGTTCTACTCCTCTGTTTTCTCAACTCCTACTTCATGCTGGACCCACGGCTGCCGTCTTGCATCATCTCGGCTTCCCATTTCCCGACCCAGCTTCATGACGGGAAGGGCATGGAGAAGATGTCACTCCTAGAGTTCCTGCTGCATGTCTGCAGTGCCTGGCACTGGGAACCACCTTGTCTTGAAGAACTTCCCTTTCCTTTGGTGGTTTTCCTTCTGTTTCTGGCCCTAATCCAGAGAAGCTGGGCCTGAGAACTGAACCAGAAGCAGTTGGAATCTTGACTCAAGACTTATCCAGTTCCCTCTCCCTCCATAAAACTCCACCCAGCCTCTGCCCTGCTCAGTGACGGTGACTAAGCTAATAGATCACTGAAGCTGAGGCATTAATGAGTGAGGTGTTTCAATATTTTGATAATAGCTCCCGAAGACTTAGACTCAAGTCTGGATTACAGTGGGAGGGCTTGGTGGGTTGTGGAGATCATCAGAGTCTAAGAGTTTTTATGAGATATTTAAGTTTCATATTTTTACTTTGATATTAATCATTGTCTGATTACAAATTTTAATTTACTGTTCCACTGACACACAAATAATGACCAGTGCAGTGTCTTACAGGGGCATAATCTCAAAGATTAGGAGAATTTTTATTCTAGTTTTTTATCCCTCTGACTGCGAGGTACTGACTCAAGGAACAATCATTATAGAAACAGGAGTGTTGTCTACAAATCCAACAGCACCCAGGAGAGAGACACAGAAATGGAAGACCCAAGCCCTGCTCTCAGAAAGCTCATAAGCCCATTAGGGAAACAACATAGAAGCACTTAAACATTAAACACAAGCACTAAATAGTAACATGAGATGTGTCACCAAGAGGCATATTAAGTGAGGTGGACAGCACTTGATGTGAAAATTTGGAGAGCTTTCTCTGTAGGAATAATCAGTGGAAGCTTCCATGGTTGAGAAAAGGTCTTGGCAGTGAAATGTGTCTGGGACTTGAACAAACATTTACATGAAAAGTAGAAATGTTACAGGCAGAAAGAGGCCCAAAGGAAGTCTAGGATCCCATCAAGTCCTGAGCTTGGGACAGAGATCAGACCAGACCGAGTAAGGAACTGCAGGAGGGAGTGCTGTGCCCACTGTCAACTGGCAGGAATGGCAAGATCTTTGTTTAAGAGCTTAATATTTGATTTTTAAGAGAATTTCAACAAGATATTGTGAGAAAAATCAGAAGAGGCAGTCTTCGGTATGCTGTACTTTTGAAGTATTATATATTTGCTTCTGTAGAGGGCAGCTGTGAGAGAGCATGCACACATCACTGCTCAGGACCTCTACAGGTCTAAGGCACCCCACTGACAGAAGATACAGTTCCACATTTTGGAAGTAAAGCAGTGAGACTGCATGGTCTACTATACTGTGGAAAGCACTCCACAGACAACTGACTACCTCAGATCCTCTGGGTCTCTACACTGAGATATTCTGAGGTCACAAACCTCCTCTAATCCCGAGCTTTGGAGCCTTTATTGTGCGTATTGACAAGGCCACACAGAGAAGGGTTTTGTTATTGTTGTTATGGTGAGCATATTTTTTCCAATGTCACTGTAATCATTGGTAGCCATTGGCTGGAAGAGATTATGTCCTCTTGAACACAGTCCCTCCCTTGCAGAATAACCCTTGAAACAACAGGTGCTATTTACTAATTTACAAAGGTGACTGTCTTGAGATAACCTTGAGGCTATTTGATGTCTTGTCACCTTGTACTTGGGACAGTGAAGATCTGTCAATACAACGTCTCAAGTCATAGAAATCTGTGAAATGAATGGAAAAAAAAGGATTCATGCCAAGAAAAATTATCCCGATTGTCATTGAGAAGGAGATTGGATTAAGTGGTTGCTAAGATCTCTTCCACCTCTAAACCCTCTTTGCACTGCGGACAGGTGGGAGGAGGGCGTTCGGTTCCCTAGCAGTATCCCTCTGATTCCCCTCCCTTAGAGCTTTCTTCGAAAGTCCCCACCAGCCTTCTCAGAATTCTACTCCGTTTTCAACAAGCCTAGGGAAAAGTCCTTCCTCAGGGCTAGCTCCCGCCAACTGCAGTAGAAGCCCATTCCCTCTGGTTCTTTGGTGAAACGAGATGAAGTTAAGACTGTGGTTCAAGCCAGTCTCGGATTAAATTCCAAAGACGCCCATGGTGGTAGGGAGAAGAGGCATTTACAGAAAAGCCACTCTCCATGCTGGGACTCTGCCAAAGGTTGAGAAACCTGGGGATTCACCAAGAAAAAGTAATTACATGGAACCCAACAGAGTGCCAGGCCATCGTCACAGCCCAGAGCATGGCCTGACTCAAGGTGTATCGCTTCAATGACCTGGTCATCTTGACGAATGGGCCCTGTGCTCGCACTTCGAAAGATGCAAGGAAACTAGTCACAGACTGATCACTGTGGCATCGCTCAATGGAGCGTGCCTGGAGCTGCTGGGAGCAGAGGAACAGTGGGTTCACAGAAGCAGAGGGAAACCTAGAGCCACTGACTGCTATCAGGGGAAACGTGGACAAATGTAACAGCAAGAGCCGTCTCTTTGAGGCTGATTTGTCTAGAAGTAGTGACAGTCATAGTCAGCCATACAGAAACGGACAGGGGGTTTAGTCCTAGGAACTGCCAAGCTAGAAGATGGCCCTACAGGTAACCCCAAACTGGGGAAGAAGGGGTCTCAGAGGCAAAAGGAGAGAAGGACCACAAATGGGGTGAAGAAAAGAAATGAGAACTAAGGAATGTTCCTGACAGCTTCTAGAAGATAAAGCAGGGTACAATCCCAGCTCTCCCCAGAATTTTAACATCTGCTCTCATTAGTGCAATGTCAGTACTTCTCTGCCCCCAAACTGGTGTGTGATTTGTGTGTATTAAAGTAAAGACAATTTTTTATTTGAGAAATATTTGTAGATGTGCAGCATTTAACATGTAATATGTCATAAATGCTCATTCAAGGGACAATAATAGCTAATTTTTTAGCACTTCTAATAGTAGGCCAGGAAATATCCTAAGTGCTTTGTGTGAATAATTTCACTTAATCCACAGTCATTCTGTGAGGCTTTTAAATCTCCCTTTTATGGATAAAAAATACTGAGGCTCAAATAATAAAGAAAGTTGCTCAAATAAGCACATCGTTGGAGTGACGTTTGTATGCAAGAAGGAAGGGGGAGGAGGAACAAGAGAAATGGAGGCAGGAAGGAGGGGAGAGGGAGAGGAAGGAAGGGAAGGAGGGAGCGAGGGAGGCAGGGAGGGCGGGTGAGGGCTGCGTTTCAGGGAAGGCTGGGGAAGCGTCACCAAGTTTCTTCTGAAAACCATTTGTCTTCACAAAAATATGCCTGGCCCGTGGATGCACTTTAATTTTCCTTTACCACCAGGTACTGAGTCTGGCAAAGAGTTGTCAAAACCAGCTCAGCCTCATGTGGGACCAAAAGAAAATAAACAACAAGGCAGGATTTTAAATGAATGTGGAAAATACAAGCGAAGCAATCCAAGTTGTCTGGGCTGCTGAAGGCCACAGCGTCCGCTCCAGCCTGGACACAGCAGTGCACAGAGCGGCTGATTTCCCAGGTTGCTGACTGTTGGGAAATCATTCTGTGACCCTCAGCCCAGGCAGGTTTCATCCTGAATAATAGGGAAAACCGTGGGGGGGCTGAAGAGAACACTGGATGGGAAAATAAAAGTGAGATGACCTCACAGGAATGAGCACCAAATGGCCTGGCCCGGGGCGGAGAGGAGAGCACATTTGGTGCAGTGCTGGACCTTTCAAACCCACGATAGCAGCAGTGAAAACCTCTGATAGCAAAGAGCCCAGAGTCACCAATGACACCCTGCTGGGCACAAAGGGCCTTTACTACCGCTACGCCACCCTTCTTCCTCCGAACCAAAGCCTGATCAGAAGAGGAAGGAGGGTTCCACATGCCACCAGGGATACCACGGCTCAGATCTTGTCCCCAACAGGTAACTTCAGCTGCCCCATGGCCAGAGTCAGCCCAGCACCTGGGAGAGAACCCTGGCCAACCAGAGGACGGCCCAGGGAGGGAATCAGAAAACACCATGCAGCATTAGAAAACATGAAGAAAAGCAGCCACCCAGGACTAGCATTAAACAGAGCAACACGAACAAAGGACCTGACAGCTGCACTTGGCTTCACTGTTGTCTTCAGGTTGAAAAACACAAACTCTGGGCCGCTAGCTGGCTGGTGTTGACCCATCTTTCACAGCTGCTGAGTAGAGTCCTACAGAGGACACAGACTCTTGCCCCCACTTAATGTGGGCCAAACTGTTTTGATGCACTCAAGACTGTGCTGAGAACGCCACAGGGCCCAGCTCCATTGTCCCTGCTGATAGCAGCCAAGTGGGCATTGCTCTCGCTCCCACCTTCAGATCAGGAAACTGAGGCTCAGCGAGGAGGGGCTTGGAAAGAAAGCTTCCTTGGGTATCGCACTGCCACGACTCCTGCTGCTCCTACAGAATCACCACGCGCCTTCATTTCCTGGGGCGCTGGGCACAAGCTTGACTGTGGCCCCTTTTCTGGTGCTCTTCCAATTCCAAACCAGAAAGACTTGGCGAGGTGTGAAGAGACCGTAAAAAACCAAAACCCAAACCATGTCACTGGGTCACAAAGATGTCCACCAAGAAGTGGTCCTTCTCCCCATCTTCCTTTCCTCTGTTGTGCCCAGAAATTGACACCCCAAAATAGGCCACTTTGGACTACGGACTTACAGCTCTGCAAGGCAGCAAATGTAGAGGGCAGCTTTGCTCCGAAAGCCCCTGCTCTACCTAAAGATGGGATCCACCAAAAGGGAAGAGTCACCCTCTACTCCCAGCCTGTCCGTTCACCAGCCAAGGAAGATTAAACTCAATGCAGGAAGGAAGAGCAAAGTTGGCTCCACACCCAAAGCCCAGGCACGCTCTTCTCTGGGCCCCTTTACACCCCGTCATTTCCCCTTCCTCGAAGGCTGTCCACAGTCCCTCCTTCCTACTCCCTTATCAGCAGGACATTTAAGCTTCATCCGTCTGGACTTTCTTTGACTTTCAAACTTTGTGTGACTCCCCTGCACTTGTGTTTATACATTTATGTTCCTTTTCTCCTATCTGTTGTCATTTTGTTTTATAGACTAAATTCATCAAACTTTCGGGACTGGAAATAAAATTTCTTTTGCCCTTATACCGACTTTCTTCCGGTGCAAGTATTCATAAAGTACTTACGGTGTTTCCTGCTCAGGCTATGAGAGGTTCTGAGATTAGAACAGCACAGTCCCAGTCCCAGCTCAGGTACTCAAACTCTTTTGAGGGGGCCAACAATAAGTTGGGTAATTTCCACATGCTCATATGAAATGCTGGCACAAGGGCTGTGGAATCAAGGAAATCACGGCAAAGATTTAACTGAGCTTGGCATGATGAAGCTGAGCGAAGGCAAATATTGACGTTGAGGTTCCTGTGATGCGGCCCAGCAGGGAAATGCAAAAGTAACCAAAGGCCACCAGGGCAGTCATGCCAAGGGTCACTGACCCCATTAAGGATGTTGTACTGCCTTGAGGGCCGCGCCTAGGCTGACACCCCCAAGACTAGCGTTTTCTCCTGGAGATAGTTCTAATCCCACTCCACCTGCTCAGAGACAGCTTGGACCACTGTGGGCAAGTCCTGATTTCCCCAGGTCCTCCATCTGTCCAGAGGTTCCTGAGGCCTCAGCCATATGCCCCCAGACTAGAGAGGAAAAAGAGGAAATCAGAAGGTGGTGGCCTGCATGCTAAATGACCCTGGGCAATGTGAATCTGGGCTCCATAATGTTCCTGACATCATGGACACTGGGTTCTAGGCTGTGTGGTGGGCTGGAGGACAACGCCTTTCTCCTTTGGTCACTTGGAAGAGTATGCCTGCAAGTCAGCCTGCCCCATCATGCAGCAGTGAGCTTGGCTCTTGGGTTCTGGGGGCGGTGGGACCCTGGCATGCAGGTGACCCTTGCCACCACACTCTTTTCTCTCCTCTCCCTCTTGGACTCTATGCTCCCACCCTGGGAGCTTCTGGTCTTGTTCCTCTACCAGGCTGCTGCCTTAAAGATTCTCGGCCTCTGATGCTCACCTCTCTGGCCTCTCTCTTCCTTAGCATCTTTACTTCTGTCTTCTGGTCTCTGTCTCTCAGTCTCCTCTCTTGTCATATTCTTTGTACCATGCCTGACCCCTTAAATGTCACACGTGTGTTCCCAGCCTCTCCTCTCTCACTGTCCCCAGGAGCCCAGGCAGCTGTGGCTCTGCAGAGCTCCAACATGGCCCACAAGGACACCCACAAAAGAGGCCATCATGTGCTTGTGATCAGCGGCAGAGGGCAGCCTGGAGTGGAGCCGCCTTACCTCTGTGAACTTTGATCACTTGGGGCTTTCACACCACAGAAAGGGTGGAGGTAGGGACTAAGATCTGATTCCTCCTCCCACAGCAAGGAGGACAGAGAAAACATCACATAGTAGGGGAGAAGGCAGGAGACAACACAGTAATCTCAAATGAGAAGAGGGCAGAGGAGGGAAGGAAATGATTTTGCATCTGTGCAAAGAAATTCCCTTTCTGGCCAGAGGTGCAGTGGACTTGGCCTAGCATTGGTGCTTCCCACAGACAGGGCCCTGGGCGGTTTCTACCGTAGAGATGAGGAACCTAAACCCACCCTACCCATAGGGTAAATGTAATGAATGACTCCTTCATGGAAAAAAAAACTTTTCAGGACTAGTCAGTAAGAGGCATAGAGGGATTTATTAGGCACTCAAAGAAGAGTGTGGACCCTCGAGAGAGAGTGAGGTGCGTCACAGACTCGGACTGGTGTATTTATGGGAGACTCAGGGTGGACACCAGGAAAACCTGTGAATATGGAAAAGGAGGATTGATTTTTAGGTATGAGGCGACAGCTCTTTCTGCAGAGGGAAAGGGGGTGTCCGTTCAGAGGAAAGGTCTATTTTACAGGTGAAAAGAGGTGGTCTATTCACAGATAAAAAGTGAATGGGAAAACCCATTTGCAATAAATGGGAATAGCATGGTCTTATTGGGTCTTGGGAGAAAAGAAGAAAAAACACTTTTTCAACTGGTTGTGTATCCTGAAGCTACAGCTTTTATTTTTCTAAATTATGAATTTCTTGGATTCCTTTTTACCTGTCTTTATTTTTTCCTATTTACCTCATCTCATCCCCTGTGAATATGATTACTTATTCTTTTTTCTTTCTTTCTCTGTACCAGGGATTGAACTCAGGACCTTACACCTTGTGCCTCTGAGCTAAATCCCCAGCCAATCCCTTACTCTTAATGGATGAGGGGGGTGGCATGTCTGCCTTCTCATGGCTGCTTCAAGCCGAGAAGAGGCCTTGACCCTTCCCAGCCAGGGACCGAAAGTCTCACCTTGATCTAAGGTGACAAAGGAATACAGAATCTTCTTTGATGAACAATCATCACTTGATAGTCTAGAAAAGAGAACAAGAAAATTAGTAAGTCACTGCCGCTCAAGCCTCATTTTATAAGCATGTTAAATAAGCAGGGATTCAAAATTAAAAATAAAATATGGATGAACAGTGACTCTAAAATTTGTAGAAGTCAGACAAAATTAGGCAGCATTTGGGATAAGCCTTTTCTTTTTATATTAAGCTCTGTTTGTCCAGAGGTGTTAACAACAGAAAGAGTTTAAGAGAATGCCCTGTTTTTTCATTAAGAAATCTGAACCCCTCCTGTTTTAATTATAACAATGGGCAAAGAATACACTAAATGAAGATATAGATATTGATATATTGATAGATATTTGTGGGGGGGACTACAGGGTTATTAATGTTTTTCACTATAGGACTTAGAGCCTGTACACCCTCTATTTGTAGATCTGAAGGTCTTTCATAGTAACTAGTTCCAGATAATACAAACATACACAGTCTGAAGTAGATAGCAGAAAATTTGTTCATACCACAAAAGTAGCAAAGCTTAGAAGCTAAAATATTTATATTGTCATGCCTTTATTTTACAGGCACACCTACACAAGAAGCTAAATCTTTGCCAGAGGGCTACTTGAAAGTATACTAAAATAGCATTATGGGAACATACTGAGAGAGGCTGGGACCATGTTTGAAGAACTAGTGGGACCAGGAATCATGGCCTCTTGTAGCTGTAACTTAAGATGTTATAAGTGTAGCTGGGTACAGTCAGCAGAGCTGATACAGTGTTTGGAGTCCCTTTTTATAGCCCAGCTTTTTATTACTATTACTATTACTCTAATTTTTTGTTATACTTTCCTCTGCTGGCTGGGTGTTTAAGACCAAGTCAAAGTTTTAAAAAATTATATATATAATTTATCAAGGTCAACTAGGGCTCCCCAAAGCTACTTTTGGAGCCTCTCAGCTCTGCTGGTTTTCTCCCCACCAGTTGCATCACTTGCCAGGATGGATTGTGGCCTTGCTTGATCATATGGCTTTTGTTTTTTAAGGCATCGGGACACTCCTGTCTTTGTGACTTTCCTGTTTTATAAAGTGCACGTTTGTTGACTCCTGTCCTCTGGAGTCCAACGACCCCCACTCCAGAGACTGGGTGACTTACCAGAGTTTCAGGACCACTTCAGAAGGAGCCCTTCATGCCCAAGGTACTGGCTGACTTTGGAGGGCAAAGGCCAGAATGTTGGCTGTCTTCTTAGCCCCATTATTCTTTTAGCTTTTGATCTCTAAGCCTCCGCTGAACACCCAGGAGGTCAGTGCACCAGTCTTGAAATGGGAACAGTAGTTTTTAATCTTACTGTTATAATTCTATCTGGCACTCTGATATACAAAATATGACTGGAGCATAGCCACCTCTTCTATTACTCATGATCAGCATTAGGAGTCATTGTCACATTCTCTCTGGACTGTAGGAGACGGTCTTCCGTCTTCACGCACTTCTTAGGGTGTCTCTCAGAATCACATTTCTGTAGAATGTTAACAGAGGGCAGTTACAAAGTTTTACAAGGAAATTTTAAAGTCAAGAACAAACATCAAATTTTAGGATAACAATTATCATGACATTATTATACTAGAACCTTTCAGTTCTATTGCTTATTTCATTATCTCCAAAAGCAATCTCTCACTTGAATATAAAATAACTTGTCAATAGGTTAACTTTATCCAATTATGAAATATTAAGTGACATAAACAAACCATCATCTAAATTTGCATTCTCTAAAAAATAAGATGCCTTAGGGGCAGAGATTTAGCTCAGTGGTTCCATTGCCTGCCTCGCAAGTGCAAGGTCCTGAGTTCAATCTCTGGTACCAAAAAATAAATAAATAAATAAGATGCCTTTCTAAGTAGAATGTGTTTACAGCCTGATCTACTTTATACATGATTAATCGGTCCACTTTTAATCATTAGAGTGACACTGCCTGGACTGCATAGGACTTAGGCACATCTAACTATTGGAATACAATTGAGAACACATAAACAGAGGCCTGAAAATGTCTTTTATTATAAAGAACTTTGCTTGAAGACCCCATGTATGGTAAGGTACTTTCCTAAATTTTTCATTTTAGTATACATTTTTCATGAATACACTTGAGGAACATAAATGTATTTAATATATCAAGGAGACAGCAATAATTAGCATCACAGCAATATATAATCTTTTACATATATCGAATTAGTCTTTACTCTTAAGGTAAAATTTAGATCTCTTTAACAGGCTGACATGGTGTAAAAGCACTGACAAGAGTCAAAAAGATAACTTTAGACTTCTTACAAGTTAGGAAATAGGATTTATGACCAGAAATACACTTGTCATCCAATTTATAAGTATGTTACTTATACAATAATAAAATGCTTGTTTGGTCAAAGCCAGTGGATATAGATCATTTTAAATAGCAGGACTGGATTGTACCAAATTTAAAGAGTGGAGATGCCAACAATTTTGATCATTTTATATGCCTAAGGTCCAGATGCAATGCATATTGTATAAATGAGAACACGTATTAGGTATTTTGCATGCATTAAATTTATGTAATCTTAACTCTATAAACCTAACATTAAAAATTTAGACTCACAGCATATTTTATATTAAATAATAGTTGTTTATTTAACCAATTAAATGATTATTGAAGACATTTTACAAGCCAGCATTTAAATAACCTTTAATTCTTAGAACTTACTTTTTAAAGTAGCCAAAAGCTAAACAGCAGAAAACACATGAAATCATCTTGATTCACAAAACCTTTGTATTAGTGTATATTTGCAGTATATAATGTTGGTGTGCATTGTGGGGAGCTGATACACATATAAGACACAGCTTCATTCTTTTTATTTCTCCTCCCTCCTTTGTAAGTTTTAATCAATATTTTTTTTTTTTTTTTTTTTTTTTTTTGTACACGGGATCGAACTCGGGTCCTTGCGCTTGCAAGGCAGGCAGCACAACCGCTGAGCTAAATCCCCGGCCAATAGCATTTTAATACCTTTTTAAAAGTACTGCTTTAGATATAGAAAACTCTTTAACCTTTTCATTACAGCCAACCTCATTATACACCAGCCTAACGTCTGACAATATTTGTTGGAGTGGGGGACAATGAAACTGGGGGAACCGGAGGAGCCCCTGTAGCTGGAGAAGCTGAAGCAAAGTTGGCTCAGGAAGCTGCTATGTCAGGCACGGAGGGGAGTCCGTCCGCTCGCACCACAGCTCGGGCCGGCCGCATAAGGGAGCTTCTTATACTATTGTTAATAGAGAATTATATATGCGAATTTTAACTCTTGCAAGCTTAGAGCCATCTTAAACCTTTATATATATTAATAATTTATGAAAACATTTAATTATTCACAATCTATTATTTGTTTATAAATTTTAAGAAGCCATGAATACTTGAATTTATATCTAGCAACTGACGGCTCAGATGTTATGGACACTTATAACTGTTAATCTCATTTCTATTTATTATTTACTCATTCTAACAGTTACTATAATTACTCATGAGTACCAAAGTATAGCATAGTTATATGTTTATATAACATATAATATATATTGCCAAAAATGTATACATCAGGAAAAGAAAAACTTGTATTAAATACTTAAATGCTAAATTTACTGAGATACCAAGAGATTAACACAGGTTACCTTCGGCCTCTACAATTACAAGAGGTGCTCAAAGTGGTGTCCATTTGCTTCCAGACATTTATTAGTAAGGCAAACGGCTGAAGTGTGGACACTTTCTGTGGCAGAATATAGATATAGAGATAGAGAGAGAGATAGATATAACCTCCAAGGAAAAACTCTTAAGTTGTTGTACACAGAAAACAATGGACATCGTTTTTATAAAATGATTTTTAAAATAAATATTGTCTTGATTGGCTAGCAACCTGGGTAAAACATGTTACCAACTTCACAGACATCTTTACTTTTACCAACCAGTTTAAACTGATTCATTGTTAAGCACAGAAACAAAAAGCATTTCGGTTAATATCATGGGTGTCCACTTATCCATAGGCCAACTTTAATAGAACTTTCGGAAGACAATATACCCTAAAGATAACACAGATAAAATATTAGCCTAAATCATATAACTTTTATGTTACCATAAGGCTTTTATTTGCAAGTTTTATGTAAATCTTCAGCCTAGCAGTTTTTACCCTCTAATGTTTTAAGTGAGTTTGATAACCCTTGAATATTTCTGTAACTTTTTTACCAAAGCTCTAACAAAGCCAGAAGTCTGTAAAGGGAAAAAAGAAAGGAAATTGATATGAGCTCAAAATATTTTTTAAATGAAGCAACTGCAGGTACTTTAACCAGTTGTTAAAAACCATACCTTAGCAGGCAGACAGGCAAGAAAATGTACAGAACACATAAAACAATTACACTAAATCAGAGTGTGCTTTTAGGTTCACTGGCCAGGCGAGATATAAGACTCTATTTCTTGGTTTTAGGTTTCTAAGCATTGACTTGTCAGTTAGAATTTTCCCTAGGGGATATCATTTAGCACTTGCTTCATTTAAATTGTAAAACATTTTCTTTACTCCAGACTACTCTGGAGAATACTTTTTTTTCCTGCTAGTTACCACAGATTCATAACCAGTAAGAGTCAGGGGGAAAGACAGAAGAGCTCCAGATTGCTAGAAAAGATCTTTGTTCATTTCCTCTTTATTATAAAACCAAGGCTACAGCCTTGTCTTGTTACTCTTTAACTTACATTTAGAGAAATATAGAGAAAAGTCAACTTTTTAAAACACTCTTTTACATCAATCTCAATTTTCTAAAATACAACCTAGAAGTGACCTTTTAGGGACAGACATTGAGTTACCCATAATCATTAAGGTGTGCTGCATGCCTTTCAGAGCTCCCTGTGCACTCCTGAAAAGAAACAGAGAAATAAAAGAGAAGGAGGAGGAGGAAGAGAGGGGAAGAAAGAGGAGGAACAGAAACAAAACCAAAAACAAAGAAAAGACGGGATCCCAGGGTCATCCTGCCTAGCAGCAGCCTGCCCAATTTTCTGTCTTGACTCTTACAGTCTCTGACAGTCAGTCACAGTTCTGTCCCAGGGCCAGGCAATCCTGCCAACCTTACTGCTGTTATGGCCAAGAACCTTGCCCCTGGCACTCAACTACGTCTTTATTAACGGTCCAGAAAGGCAAGAAAAATAAGATGCACACGGAGGTGTTCACATCTAGAGACCTGTAGCGTATGTGAAGAAGCCATGGAGGGCCTTTTAAGAAATCCAGAGATGCTTCTGTCTATAGTGACTAAAAAGCACATACTTGTTTTGACAGGGAGATAAACTGATGGCTAAAATTGCTGGAAGAGTTGCAAAACCAAGTAAGGTAGAGGAGAAAATCAAGCTGGCGTTAGAGAATGGAACCTGTGAGACCCAGAGAGAGTACAACCAGCAGGGCTGGAGCAGCTGCACTATGGACAGATGCAAAGGAGGGAGGGCCTGTGGGCAAAGCACACATCTTTGAGTACAGCCAGGGGAGGGGAGTGTTTGTGCCCTTCTCCCTCCCCAGCACAGCTCGGAGCTCGGAGCTCCACGCGCCGACCAGAAGGAGAGGGAAGTGTCTGGGTTCTGGCCATTTACACCCAAACCACTGAGCCACATTGGTCACATCACGTGTCCCCTCCCACCAGAGCGGAGGGAGACTGGAGGGGAGGGGAGCCTTTCTTCCCAGCCAGGTGGAGGGTTAGTGAGAAAAACCTCCTGAGCTCCCCAGTTCCTGCCTCTCTGCTCACTAACAGCAGCAAAGGTTAAAGGACTTGTGTTTCCTGACAGATGAAAGCCTCAGTAGGAGGGGAACGGGCAAGAAGGGAAAGGCTTTAAAGGAGAGAGGAGGAAAAGGAAAAAAAGAAACCCAGTGGGCTTCCTCCTGGTCCGACTCCATGTCCACAGGGCCCAGCGGGCACCTGCTGTCACCAGAATGCTCATTGGAATCCGCACTGCTCAGGACATGAACTCCGCCACCGAAAGGGGAGCCGTGGCAGGCAGTGGACTGGGTGCCCTTTGGTTTGAGTGAGAGAAGATCCCAAGTCATCTGAAGTGCACAGGACCGAGCAGACAGCTTCCCCGGTGTCACCCTGGCTCTGGTTCTCTCCTCTGCATCTCGGAACCGGGTTCCCACCCTGGCTGCATGAAAAACTTTGCTCGAGACACCGGATAGTTCTGTCCTCATCTGTGTCTCCCCAGTGAGCAGGTTTTGGTTCCATCTGACCCAAGAGCAGTGCCCGGACCTGAGAGGACACACAGGAAGGAGGCTGCTCCTGCATGGAAGGCACCTCTCACACCTCTTACAGTTTCCCATTGACAGAGCCCATGCCTCTTGCCTTCATTGCTTTTATTTACAGGCACTGATCTTTCTAGGGACTTGGGAACCTCTAGCCAAAAAGGAAATAAAAAACAACTAAGGCTGCAAGAGGAAGAGGGCAGGAGGGAGGGGGAGAGAAACAGAAGGGACTGGGGAG